TGGCTGCAGTGTGACCAGCTATCTCACTTTTCTGTCACCATGCCTTCCCTACTTGATGGGTTGTGCCCTCAAACTGTGAGGTCCCTGTCCTGTGTGTCCCTCACAAGCCATGCTTAAGTTGTATTGATGTTCCTTTGTAGCTACAAGGAAAGTAACTAATACATATTTTCTAGCTATTACCTTATAAAGAAAAATATCACATTGGAGTTGGGGGTGGGGGTTGAGGCAATCTTATTACTAAAAAATCTCTTCTCTTTGGGGTGTCTGACTTTTCCTTAGGTTGGAAACAGAGAACTGCTAGTATTAAAATGAATAAATAGGAATGAAACACATGTGGTGTGAAATTAGAAGAGAGGAATGTTTTGGAAGGGAGGGGACCAGCAAGAGGGATGAGCAAGGATAGGGGAATGCATTGTAAGAGGGACATGAATAGGAACAAAGTGTGGTGGCATATGTTAAAATGCCATAATAAAACACATTACTTTCTCTGTGAGTTTAAGGATAATAGAAATAAATTTAAAATGAATAGAAGGAAAATTGCCATTGAAGATGCTTTTCAATTTATACCTATTTAAGTAAATATACTCAATAGCCAAGAGAAACTGAATAATAATGATAATAACAATTATTCTTTCTGCAGAAAGCTGAAAATTAGTAAGTTATGGAGTAACATTGTTTAAAAATAGGATATAGGATGTATTTTTGTTTGTTTTGCTGACTTACCTCTTCTGTTTATATTGTCATTCTTGTTTGTCCCGTGCAGAGGCATATAAAGCCTGCTTGGAAACAAGTTCTCTTACATGATTTATATAGAAAATTTTGTTAAAAACAAGAGATCTTATATATCAGAGTTTCTTAACCTTTTCCCACTCAGTATTCCTTTTTGCATGAGAAATTTGTATACTAAACCAGGTATATAGATACATAAAATAAGTATAGAAATAAAACCTTTACTGATAATAAATCATTCATAAATTTATTACACAACAATTCTTTGGAATATAAATTCACATGTTAATGAGATGCATATGCTTATTTTTTATATAAAAAATGAAATCTTGGCTGAATATTTTGATACTGCAAAGTGAGCATCTTCAGAGTCTTTCAAAATTTGATTTTATGATCAATTCTGAGAATGCTGCTTTGCATGTAAAGTACAAAATGGCCAAAGTATAGGTAAGGCCATTTTAGAAATTGTTGGAAGTTCTGTCTAATACTAAGCAAAATTCATAGATCTTTAAAAATAAAACTCAATTATTTACTCAAAGACTAATTTTAAAATAAAGTGTTGTAGTAATATAATCCAAAGTATACTAACTTGATACACTAACATGCTGAGGAATAATGGTAGGAAAATGTGAAAAATCTTTGTTTTTTTGTAAACTATGTTTCTAAACATATGTGTAAAAAATGCTGTTCATAATATTTAACAGTCACAAATCTGAGCCACTGTGTTTCAGGCAATAGTTGACATGTATGACATGATGGTATGTACAATGCAAAATGCACTTGTTATGTTCAGAGCCAGGGCTTCAGTGAAGTCATGTGATGCAATGATGGGGGGTTTGCTGCTAGAAAAACTTGAGTTCCACTGCATGTTTGATTTTGAAGTAAGTTTTGGTTATTGCACATTTGGAAACCTTCCACTATTGCCAAGTTTTTTATGACCTGGACATACAGTTATATGATTCTGTGTGGGATAGTGACTCACAGGTTAGGAGGCTAGTTTGTAGATAGAGATTTACAGTTCAGCCCTGTACCAGAATTGCTGTGATCCTTTGAAAGTAAATCTTGCTTCCTGAATCCTACCCTAAAGATCATGACCAAAGATATTAGTGTTTTAGATATAAAGAAATCCATAGTCTGGTGTCCTTACTTTATAGCCAGTTTTGTGATGTGTGGCTTCTGGAGATTTGTGTATTAATAGAGATATTAATCACCATAATGTCCTTTGTATTTTTCATACTGAAAAAGCCTTTTAGAGTTAATTTGCATAACTAATGAGTGTAAGTTAACTTATACTTGTTGAGTACTTATTATGTATTTAAATGCTGCTAAGTTTTAATATGAACCTGATAGTTTATTTCATAAATACAGATTGATTTTTAGTTGTCTAATAATGTGTGAGTATTGAAAACAAAATCATATTAGTAAAAGTACTTTATTTGAAACTTAGTTGCTGAGTACAATATTTAGGTTCAAAGCAGTAGATTTATATAGGAAACTGAGTGCAGGTGAAATATGTAACACTTCCCCATACAGCAGAGTTGGGCAGTTGTGACTGAGACCATCTGGCTTGCAAAGCCTAAAATATTTCTTGGATGGCCCTTTGCAGAAAAAGTTTGTTGATGTCTAAGAAGGATAATTACAGTGTTTACATCTATCTGATGAAGTCCTGGTCAGGGTTTTTTTTTTTTCCTAAGGAGTGGTGAATATGAGCATTCTTATTTTGTTCTCCAACTCAGTAGGAAAGCACTTAATCCCTTACTGTTAAGGTTAAAGTTAGTTGTAGGCCTTTTACTGGTTCTCTTTAATAAGATGAGAAGACTTCATTATATCCCTAGTTTGTTGAAGGTTTTTTAAAAACATGAATGAATTCTAAATTTCCATATTTTGCGTCAATGGATGTGATCCTGGGGTCTTTCCTTTTTATCTATTAATATTATGGACTACATTGACTTCTTTTTTCTCCCAATGTTGAACTAACTTTGCATTCCCCAAATAATACCCATTGGTTGTTATGTACCATTTTAGTCTTTTATATATATATATATATATATATATATATATATATATATATAATTAGTGATTTGACTTTATGTATTTGATTATAATATATTTAATTACAATAGTTATATTTATATATGTGAAGAGATAGATTTGCCTAATATGTATTTATATGTATAAGTAGCATCTTAAACTTTTAATTATCATACTAATAGTTAATATTACTAGTATATAATTATATAATATTAATAGTATATGTATTTATTGGCATACATAATGGTGAATTTCAATATGACATTTTCATACATGTACATACTATATTTTGATCATAATGATATCCCCCCCATTATCCTCTCTAGTCCTCTTCCTACTCTCATTAATCCTTTTTCTTTTCTCAACTAGCTCCACTTTTTCTTGGGGGGTTGTTTGCTGGTATATGGGTACCTCACTAAATTATTGAAGAAAATATCTCTCCCTCCCCATCAGTCTTTAAATGCATACAAATCCTTAGGGATGTATGAGGCCCCATGGTCCCCTGACCGTTCTATCACAGAGTGTTTTCTGGTGCAGTCTTGTACAAGTAATCACAGCTGCTGTGAGTTCAGGGATACTATAGCTACATCATGTCCGAAAGTCAGTGTTCTATTCCACACCCTAACCCTGGCTCTTAAATTTTTTCTGTCCCTTCTTCCATGCTGCTCCTGAGCCTTGGATGGATGATACAGTTGTCCCATTTATGGCTGGGCATTCAAAAGTCATTTATTCTTAGTACTTTGAACACTTAATGAGACTCTAAAGTCACTGCTGACTAAGGCATAAAGCTATTCTTACCACAGCTGACAGATTGTGGGTACAGTTATTTAGAACGCAATTTGACAGCCATATCATGTGCATTTGTCAAAAGAGTTGCAACAGCTTCCCTACTATGGTCTATGACCACCTCAGTTGTGAACTTTTGACCTGGTTTATGGGACCACATTTGAATTTCCTTCTGTGGACCAGGTCACAAATGTAATCAGAAAGTGGTTGGTTACCCTCATAACAGATTTGCCACTACTGCACCAGTGGTTTCATTTGGTCAACTGGTCAGTATTATTGCACACGGCATCTGTATCTGAGTCAGACTGTTGATGACAATTTTCCTTCAGTAAACTGGCAAATAGCTGATTTTGATTTGCTAATGTAGATATATTATTGTGTGGTGCTGGAAATTGATCCCAGGGCCTTGTGGATGCTGGACAGGTAGGGTACTCTGCCACTGAATTGCAATCCTATCCAAGTTTTGCTAATACATAGTTGAGATTTTTGTATATTTTTATGAAGTATATTAGTCTGTGGTTTAGACATTGAAGGATTGGCCCCAGATGGTGATATAATTTATCTTGTCCCTCATCCATTCCTATATTGCTGTTTCTCTGCCTCATATCTGACATGAGTTGAGTCACTTTGCTCTATCATGTGTTTCACAGTAGCCTTGATGATCTTCTATGAGTATTCATAACTGTAGTAAATATCCTTGTTTACTATGTTTAGATGTTACTCACTAGTATGACTTGCTTTGTTTTTAGTTTTAATTCAGTTTGAAATGTGTTCTAATGTAAACATTCCTCTTTGGTTTTTATTTTATTTTTTTCTTTCTTTTAAAGACATCTGAGCCTGGCTTTGAACTTGAACTCCTGATCACCCTGTCTCTACTTCCCAAGTGCTAAGATTACAGATGTACACCACTGTGGTGCAGTTGGTATTGTGCTTTCTGGGCAAGCATGCAGACCTGAGTTTAGATCCCAAGCCTAGACTTGGAAAAAAAAATGGCTACATAGAGTTCAAGCCATTAGCGAGTCTAGCTGTTATTTCTTTCTCAGTATGAAATAGCCAATAAAGAATCAAACATCATCTGCTATCTTTCCTAAAACTTGTGATGTTTTGAAGAATAATTGAATTGTGTCAAAATGGTTAGTAAGTTGAATTTGTTAATATAATGCTTGAAGCTTACTGACATGTACACATCTCAGCACTGGCAAAAACGGTAGGTAAATTGTTCATTTAAAATATGCCAAGGACGATGTACTTAAAAAATCTCTCAAATTCAGACATGCTCTAGATAAATGTGATATGTTGCTCTTCATTTTAGCTGTTTTTAGTGAGGCATTGTTATACCACTTCATTCTCTATTTATTTATTTATATTTATTCCCTCGCCCTTAACTCCTCCCTGGTCTATCTCACTTCTATTTATATTTCTAATATTTAAATATATAATTTTATCTTTCTCAGTCTGAGGGAAAAGGCCATAGCAGTGCTGGAGATGCAATATATGAAGTGGTGAGTCTGCAGAGAGAATCTGACAAGGAAGAGCCAGTCACTCCTACTAGTGGAGGGGGGCCAATGTCACCCCAGGAGGATGAAGCGGAAGAGGGTAAGAACTTGAATGTATTCAAAAGTGGTGTGTGTGTGTGTGTGTGTGTGTGTGTGTGTGTGTGTGTGTGCGCACGCGCGCACACACATATGCACTCCCTCACTCTGAGGGGTTAGTGATAGTTATTCCTAGTCCCTGATACACTTATGTTAAATTCTTTGACATGCAGAGGGAGATTTGGTCCGTTTGGTTCTTTCTTTGGCTGCACAGTCCCCAGTGCCTAAACACTATTAAGCAGCTATTTAAACTTGGTAATATTGCTGTACTAGTTTGCTTCCTATTTGATTTCAAGTATTTCTGAAGTATTTAATTAGAAGTTTCAAATTCTCTGAAGTATGTTTAGAATTTCAGTGATACATTTTGCTTATCTTTGACACTTCAGTTTCAACTCATTTTTGTGGTTCCCATATTCTTTGCCACTTACTTCTCTGAAATAGCATGCTCTATGTTCTCTTTACTACATGAATGCTAGTGAGCGATGCTCAGAAGACCCTTACATCATCTGGCTAGGGGCACAGTACTCTCCATAGCAACTAGGGCTAAACGGACAGGCCTCAGCTTTAGCTCATATGATTGCTTCCAATATGGGTTTGTTAACAGTACAGTTCTTTTCCCCCTTTTTTAACAAAATATTTTTATTTTACTTTTATATATTTATGTGTGTGCATACATGTGTGTATCCATGGAGGCCAGAAGAGGGTGATAGATCCCTTGGAACTAGAGTCATAGGTGGTTGTAAGCTACCTGAAGTGGTTGGTGGGTGCTTCTCTGCAAGAGGAGCCAGAGCTCTTAACTGCTGATCCATCTCTGCTGCTCTACCAGATTTCTGTATTAATATCATGTTTGAAAAAATTTTAAAATTCTGTTTCTTTATGTATTTATATCATTTTGACAGTTATAGAATTATTATTTTATTACTTATTATTGACTAGTATTTTTTTTACTTGTGAAACATAATTCTGTTTCTAATGTGTCAACTAATTTCATTGTTTTTTTAATTGTACACATGCTTTTATTAATTAAATTGGCTTTAGGGATGGAACTAAGGCACAGAGAACATGAGCTACTGGCTTACGCCACTTGCCTGCAAGGGGCAGTGCTGATGTCTGAACGCAGGCTCTTTGATGCTACTAAACTCTTTTGTCACATTAGACAAGTCACTGAAATTTGTAAGTAACTGTTTAGAACTAAGGCAAATGTCCATAACAAAATTAGCCATTTAAAAACATATAATATAGTAACATTGTTAAAAAACTATCTTTTTACTTTCAAAAATTTCCATTACCCAAGAAATGAAAACTATTATCTAAGAAGTCACTCCTTGTTTTTCCTTACCCTAGCCCGTGACAACCACTAATTTGTATTTTTATTTGTATTTTTTTTCTTGTCTGGGAGATTAATGTAAATAGAATCATAAAATGGCTGATATGTAGAACTGAATTGTATTGCAAAATAAAAAAAAATATGATAAAAAATACTAAATTTCATATGTGGCTTCCTTTACTTGGCCAAATAATTTTGATGTAGTCCTCATTAATATATATTATAGCATGTATTATTATTTCATACTTTTCATGTCTGAATAATAGTGATGTAGTTGTACCTCATATTATCCAGTTATCAGTTGAGGCACATTTGAGTTACTGGACCAATTAGATCTTATAAAAAATTTGATAAATATTTATATGAAATTATTTTTATTTGTGTGAAATCATTGTGCACCAAAAGACAACACAGAGAAAACATAACAGCATGTGAATGATTATGTGAAAGACATACTGTCCTGAATATTTTAGTAAATCTGACAACTCAACAAAAAAAGTACAGAATGTAATTTTTTTTTTTTTTTTTTTTTTTTTTTTTTTTTGGTTTTTCGAGACAGGGTTTCTCTGTGTAGCTTTGCGCCTCTCCTGGAAATCACTTGGTAGCCCAGGCTGGCCTCGAACTCACAGAGATCCGCCTGGCTCTGCCTCCCGAGTGCTGGGATTAAAGGCGTGCGCCACCACCGCCCGGCTCAGAATGTAATTTTTTTATGGTGAATTTGTATCCTGTAATTTTTATTAGGTTCCTTTATTCATTTTAACAGTGTTTGGGTGGTATTTAGAATTTCTTTTAAGATCATGTGGTATATAAACAGGAGCTATTTAACTCCCCGCCCTTTCCTGTATTACTTGAATTACTTTACCTAATGTGTTTAGCCCAGAATTCCAGTCCTGTGTTACATAGAAGTGGAAAGAGCAAGTGAGTGTATTCCTTCCAGATCCTAGAACTGATTTCAGGTTTTCTCATTTAGTAGATTACTTTTGAATTCGTGAATTCGTCATATACAGCCTTTATTGTGTTGATGCACATTTCTTCTATAGCTAATGTGTTGAAAGGTTTTAGCGTAAGGCATACTGAATTTGTTCATTGTATTTCATGTATCTGTTAAAATGATCATTCATTTTTGTTTATTCTGTTAATGTGACACACACATACTGAGTTTTTACTCAGCAAGTAGTCTTTAGTTCTGGAGATGTGTTCCACTTGACTGTAGTCAGTTACCTTTTCAGTGTACTACTAAGTTGACTTTGCTATTATTTTCTTAAAGTTTTGTCATCTATCTTTGTCAAGGGTATTGGATTCTGTTTGTTTTATAATGTTTGAGTGGCTTTTGTGTCAAGGCAATTCTGTCCTCATAGCTTGAGTTTGATGTACTCCTTCAATTTGTGAGTAGTTTAAGTAGAGTTGAGATTGGCTTTTGGCTTTTCTGTAAAGGCTTAGTAAAATTCAGTACTGAACCTCTAGGTCTTGGCTTTCTTTCTTAGGATATGTTTTATTATTCATTCAATTTCATTATTTCTTACTGGTCTGATCAGCTTTTCTGTTTCTTAGGATCCAATCTTTTTGTTGTTATTATTTTTTCAACTTCACTTTGGTTTTATGGTCCCACTTTACAGAAATATAAAATTATGTACATATATATGGATTTTATGTTGCTGCTGCTGCTGCTGCTCATGATTATTTTTTTTGAGACAGGATTTCTCGATGTAGTCCAGGCTGCCGTTGAACTTGCTCTGTAGATCAGGCTGGCCTCCAATTCAGAGATCTACCTGCATTTGTTTCCTGAGTGCTGAGATTAAAGGCATACACCACCACTGCCATCTTACTTGTTTTTTAAGTATTTTTTTTTATTAATTCTTTGATAATTTCTGAAGTATATTTTGGCCACATTTATTCCCCTTCCCCTCACTGCTCCCAGGTCTATCTCACGTCCCTATTCATCCACTTCATGTCGTCTCCCCCTCTTTTTAATTTAAAGCCCATTGAGCCCAATTTATACTTTTGGATATAGGGTCAACCCCTGGAATGGTCCACCTACCAGAGGTCACACTCTTAAGAAAAACTGACTCTCTTCTTCCAAAAGCTATCACTGTCAAAACTTCTCAGCTAGATATTGATGTGATGGATTATTAATTATTGAATGTTTCACTGTGGTTATTAGTTACCACCATGTGGTTTCTTATGCCTTTCACTTTGCTTTATCAGTTTTCTAAATTAAGTCTTAGGTCACTCTCTTAGTTAGGGTTTCTATTGCTGTGAAGAGACACCAGGACCATGGCAACTCTTATAAAGGAAAACATCTAATTGAGGTGGCTTACAGTTCAGAGGTTCAGTCTGTTATCATCATGGTGGGGAGCATGATGACATGTATGCAGGCAGACATGGTGCTGGAGAAGTCAGGCAACAGGTAGTTGACGGAGACACTGGGTGGTATTCTTAGCATAGGAAACCTCAACGCCTGCTCCCACAGTGACACACTTGCTCCAACAAGGCCATACCCATTCCAACAAAGCCACACCTCCTAATAGTGCCACTTCCTATGATACTATGGGGGCCAATTACATTCAAGTTATCACAACCACTATATGCCTTCTCTCCTAATGCAGGAGCCCTCACAAATAATCCCTTCTTCAGTTGTCTATATCTTCAAAGCAGGGCACGTAGCTGATTGGTTTTTTAAATAAAAAATTCAGCATGGCTGTTAAAAAGAGATTTATTTTTACTTTAATTATGTGTATATGTGTGTGTCTCTGGGTATGTGAGTACCAGTGGCCATTAAAATAACTGCATCAAGATAAAATTTACATATTTTAATGAACCTGTTTTGAGTGCTCATTGAAGTTTGAAAAATAGCTGCATCTAGATGAATACTGGTATAATTATCAGCTTTTAAATATTCTTTGATAATTTCACATATGTATGTGGAGTTTTGGATATTTTTATCCCTGTTACTCTTCCTCTCCCTCCTGCTGAAAGCTTTTTCTTACCATATTCCCCCTTCTAGTTTTCTTTTTTCTAATCCATCTCTCTCTTTTTTTTAATCCACTGAGTTAATTTTAGTTGCTTCCTTGAGTATGAATGTGGGTTTATTTTTTTGGGAAATGGACATCTTATCAGTGGCTACATTGATAAGAATAACTCCTGGAGCTGGAGAGATTGCTCAGTGGTTAAGAACGTGAATTGCTCTTCTAGAGGACCCAAGTCCAGTTCCCATGTGCGGTGACAAACTACTGCCTGTAAAGTTAGCTCCAGAAGATCCAATGCTCTAGCCTCCCTGGGTACCTGCAGCCATGTGTACACCCCTCCACCTGAACTAAAGATAATAAAAAGAAGTAGTTTTTCAAAAGAAAATGATCTCTGTCCCTCAGATCTATTGACTGCCCATACTCCCTCAGTGAAGTTGGAGTCCTATGGGCTCCTCCCTCATGCATGATGGAATGGTGACAGTCTAGCTCTGTGCAGGTGCAGTGAGTTCATGTGTACAGTTGCCGTGTCATGTTCAGAAGACTGTTTCTCTGCACTCCTTTCCAGCTTCTGCTTCTTATAGTCTTCCATCCGTTCTTCTGCAGTGTTCCCTGGGTACTCCACAGTCATTTATTCTGCATTAACTCTGCACACTGTAAAAAGAAGCCTCTACTGAAGGGTGAGAGCTGCATTAATCTGTGGCTATAGATATA